ATTAATTTAATATGCCAGAGATGGTTAGGGGAAAGAATAATTCAGTATAACCTGTCAAACACAGTAGTTGCCAATTAGCTTCAAATCATTTAAACTTCTAGGTGTCAGCCAGGAAACTTCAAATCATTTAAATTACTTCTTCTAGCTGCCAGCAAGGAACAGAGAAGAGACGATGAAAATGGAGATGTGCAAAAGAGAAATTAGAGCTACAAAAGGAAAGTAAATAAGGAGGGATAGGAAAAGATAATTGCTTGTCTGATTTGTAAGGCCCATTTTCCTGAGTGCAGAAATGTTTCAATATGAGTAATGAAGTCGCTCTGAAAGAGAAGAAAGTTAGCTCTCTTGATAGCAATATCCCTTGATATTCACTTCAATAACTTAAAGATAGCTTAGTGTGTGAAGCAGCACATTTTCCCATTAGCATATTGTGTAAAGAATCAGTAAAATTGGGCGGCGCCTGTGGCTCAAGGAGTAGGGCGCCGGCCCCATATTCCGGAGGTGGCAGGTTCAAACCTGGCCCCAGCCAAAAACTGCAAAAAAAAAAAAAAAAAAAAAAAAAAAGAATTAGTAAAATTAAATGAAGAATGGGAGAAGATTTGAGCTTGAAGAGATCTGGTATGATGTCAGAGAGGGCCAGGAAAACGGTGGTCTGAAGCAAACAGCAAACCTTGGAGAGAAGAGGAAGATGGATCACATAAAGCATCATGTGTCATAAATACAGATGATTATCATGTAACTGATGTAACCCGTGAGACCGGGACACCACATCAATCCGGAAGTTTGCTTTATGGGACAGCTGGGAGGAAAAAGTACTAGATTAGGCAATGGGAAAGCTAGGGTTTTACTTTGTCTGTATCTTCTTAGTGGGGCTCAAGTCTCTTTGTTTCCATTGTTATCATTAAATTCCCTGTGATACGTATTGTAAGATAATAGAAATACATATTTGGTCTTTGTTCCTGGCTCCTGGCAAAGAACTTCTAACACCCTAGGAATTTCTTAAGTGCTAGGGGTGAGAGAAACATCTTGTGTTATTCATAATAAGCTCCTTCAAACATACCTGAGTTTGATTCTCCACAATAACCCTCCTTCCTCTTTCACTTATAATTAAGATTTTGTATTTTTTTTTTTTTTTCAGTTTTTGACCAGGGCTGGGTTTGAACCCACCACTTCCGCTATATGGGGCCAGCGCTCTACTCCTTTAAGCTATAGGCGCTGCCCAAGATTTTGTATTTTTTTTAACTTAAAATAATGCTTAATTTTTATTATATATAAAATGTTTAATATAGTGCTTAATTTTTGCAACCTTTTCCCTTTATCATCACATCAGTGTATATAAATTTTAGAAAAAATTTATTGTCCCTACGAGTCTGTCTCCAACAATTGAATGGCTTTAGGTAAAAATACAATACTGATTTTAAGGGAGGAGGAAAAGAGAATTCATTTCTCAATACCAACGTTATGTTTCTCCATTATATTGAACAATTTTCTGGAATACGTTTTCTTACAGTGTCTGTTTGATGACAAAGATTAAATTCTAAAAGGAAATCTGATGTTTGAAATAAGCCCACAGAATTGAGTTTTAGAAAGATCAGTAGAAAGAAAGATCAGGTATTTTTTAAGGCATACCAGATTTAGAATTATGCATAACAATTTTTCATTGCATAAAAAGAAAGGTATAAACATACCCCCAAACCCATCATTTTTCCCACTCTCTAAAGTAACCTTTTTATTTCTTTGAATTCTTTTCAGTTTTTGAAAAGATTTGACATTGCTAGTCAAATCAAACTTCCTTAAATTTGGACCATTTTCTGATACTTTTTTATATTTATAAAAATATGTGTGTGAGTTTTTTGAGGCTTAATTCTTAGGCCCACCCATTTTGTGGAAGCCTTTTGTTAGGAAAACCATTTTTGATGATGCCAAGACAGACCACTTTATACAGAAATTTCATTAAGTAGTAGATAACAAGATGAGAGAGTATTAATACATTTAATACTTTCTTGACATTATTTGCTAAGTCCTTAAGATCTAGAATCACAGAGCTCTTTTTTTCAGTTAAAACTGAGCTTTTCTAAAATTCAATTATTTTAAGAGATTAGACAACGGAGGCAATTTATTCACAGCAGAACCAGAAGTAGAACTCAATTTTTATTCCACACAGTGCTGATATTTCTGATACAAGTCACATTTCTTAGAAATAAACTCTGAAAATTAAAACTGAAGCATTGAAACTCAGTTGAACTTAGCAGCTTTCTCTGATTAACACCCCATGAGAAACATACAGTTAACGACAAGTTCCCCAACAATGGGGAACTGTTACAGAATAATGGAAGAAAAAATGAGCAGAATGAACAAATCCAACAGGAGGGGACCCAGGAGGAGGCGGAAGGCATAAGAAGGAAGACAACCAGAGTAAAAGGAAAGGAAAGAAGTGCCCTCCAGCAGCTTGAGAAAAATACGATGATGTATTTCTCCAATTCTGTTTTGTCTCTAACATGTGAGACATTGTGTTTATGTGCGAAAATAGTCTGACCCTAATTTGCCTCAATATTAGAGAGGCTCAGATTCTTGCTTACAGGACCTCCTGTATAATGGTTTCCTTCTGTAGACCCTCCTCACAGAGGAGTGTGTGATGGTCGCTGTTGAATCTGTAGTGCACAGTTCAACCCTAATGCTGCCAGATGTAAGTCTCTGTGCCTCTGTGCCCTCATGTCTATTTACTTAGGGCCATGTAGGCTCTGAACCACTCTAGTTTCTAAGAATTAGTCATCAGTGGAGTTTGAGATTTTATCAATGTACACGTATATTCTAGGACTCGACATCATGTCACATTGACAGCCTGGCATTGCATATGATCTTGATTCTGACAATGGAGTACTTATTTGATACTAAGAACCAATCTCCACCTCTACCCTGGTTCTGGTTTTCTTGGCTCATTTCATGGCTCAAGCCCCTCACACAATAACTCATTAAGATCCCTGTTCTCAAGAAGCAAGGCCTGTGTTTGTGCCAGCCCCAGTGTTTGGCTATAGGCTCAGGACTCTGGTGACAACAACAATTGGCCCTTCCCTGATGGAATATCTGAATAGCTTCTGTTCCTGATATTCCTTTGGCCACATCTGTTAGGTCACCACATTCCTCATAGAGCTCAACTCAGCTTAGTTGGTATCTGTAGCATCTGATCTACTACAGGGGACACATTTAATTCTAAGTCATAGTCTTTCCCACAATCTACCTTGTACCTCTGTTAACCTGGCTCTTGCATGGCCAATAGCAAATATAGTCAATGGAATTATGTACAGTTCAGAAGTATTTGCAAGATCAGGTACTTCAACATTCTTCTAGTTTCCCAATATTGCTTCTGTTGATTGTCATTAATGCTGTTTTGTTCAGTGTGCCAGTACTAGGTCAACACATTTATTCTGATATAATGGAAAGATATTCTGCTCAGATTATCTTTATGAATTGAGAATTCATTGTATTACCTTGTGACAGGAAGCACAGAATGATGGCTGAGCATATTTGTTACTTAGTCAATCTGCTAATCTGCCGATAACCCAGCATGTGCCGCACTACGCTACTCCCATCAGAATAACCGAGCATGTTGCTTTTTGAGTCAGATTCTCCTTGCCTCGAAGACTGTTGTAATCATCTTTGTTTGCCAAAAATTAACTCTTTTGGGCAATGAAGGAGTTCGGCAGTGCTTAGCAAACTCTTTCACCAACTGAAAAAAAAGGTTTTCTTGCACCAGTAATATTCAGACAGGAATCTCAGTAAAATATAAGCAAGAAGTTGAGCTTTACGGATTCCTGTAAGAGCCACGGTATGGAACTTTTAGTTTTGAAGAAAAGGTAGCTAAAAATAAACCTGAATATAATCAGGGGAAGCAAAAAGGGAGTTTAGAATTGTCATTTGTTTTTAGTAAGAAAGCCACATCCATTGTTCTTATTTATAATGGGCTGAAATGGTAGAGATAGCTAAATCTGCAGAGAAACATTTCCCAGAAATAACAAGGATGTTAACCTGAACACAAGATTATATGTATATGTATATGTAGTTTCCTAGAATTGAGAGCTGACGTATAAAAGGGGTTATTAGAAAGATTCTGAATTCCCAACAGAAATCAGACTGCATATCCCAAATAGTCTCTCTTTTCCTGAGCAGTAAACATATTTCTCAGAAGGAATTTGATTCATTAGAACTTCAGCGTGCCTGATACAGAAGAATAAAGTCAACACGACTTCATCTGCCCCTGAGGGACTGTAAATGAATGGTGTTGAATTGTGCATGTTGTGTCAATGTTATTCTAGAAATGTCAAAACGAAGCTTGTTGCAAAATCTAATGCCAGGTCCAAACTGACAGATGGCTTTCTATTGTTTACAACTAATGTAACTCTTTATTTTGTTTTAGAAATCATCTAAAATAAGGATGAGTCGAACTTACCCATAATATTGAATTTAGGCAGGGAAATTCTAGCAGCCCTAGACGTCAGAAGTCATGATAGCTAACAGGTATTAAGGGCTAACTTTATGTCAGTTACTCTTTTAAGTGCCTGTAAGTATCAACTCATTTTAATCATGCCACATTCCTATGAAGCAGAAATTATTTTTCTTATTATCCCTCATCTCAGGGCAAAGGAACTAGGCCCCAGAGATCCAAAGTACCCAGGGTCACATAGAAGGCAAATTGTAGAGTTAGGATTGGAACTCAGTCATGCTAGCTCTAGAGTTTGTATTCTTTATCAATATGCATTATTATTCTGTTCCAGAGGAAAGTACAAATCTCAGTAGTTATTTGTTCAAAAACAGAATCTGACATAATCATTAATGATGTATGACTATTTAAACGTTAGATCTGTAAGAGAAGTATCCAAACTATTAATACATACCATCTATTAATATAATAATATATACTGGCAATTAACTATATTTAACTATTAAAAAGCTTAAATGAACACTATCACCAAGGTAATAATACTTTCTTTCTTTCATCTTTTCAGCAACCTTGACACAGAAGAACTATGTGGTAAGTTTCTTTAAGACCAATCAAACTCATTTCTTATTTTAGAAGGAAAAAGAATATTATCTGATATATTTCTGTATATCTTACAATGAATGGTATAGATTAGGAGTTCTGGAATAAAGTAAAAGATAAATCGCAAAAGATTTATCTTTAACCATGAATTTTGCTCAAGCATGTGTTTCACTCCAGCACAAGTTAGGCCTAGTTAATTTCTTCACAGAAGGAGAATTGTTAGCACAACCAGTACATTAGTTTCACATGAGCAATTTCTGCACTAGTTTGAATATATGTTTAAATTGGTGTTTAATACAACTTCATTATTCTCTTTACAATATATTGTGCAAAGCCTTTTGTTACTGTTATGCAGAGCTATCTCCTCCAAATGTAAAAATAACTTTGTCTTATACCTGCCTGAGCCATTCTGGAGATTTAAATGTCACTTGCAAAACAAGTGATTCAATGGAGAGAGATAAATCTGTACCAATGGCTGATTTAATTGCCTTTTCATTTGTTTTCTTCATCTTTGTTAAATCAACTCTTGTTAAATCAACTCCTAATCAAACATTAGGACTATGGGAAGATAAAATTCATGAAATTTATTATTTTTATGAAAAAATTATGGACAGTTATAAAACCATGCAATTTGAAACAGCTATATTTCTCTCCGTACTAGAAGGTATTAAGTTTTATGTTTTAAGATAAATGTTTAAGGTAATACCTTTGTCCAAGTTTGATCTTATTGTCTATGCTGCCCCAAACATTTTTCACGGCTGGAGGTAGTTTCTCTAGAACTCCTAGCTGAAAACTACAAACACTTTCTGAACATCTTCTAATTCTTACAGTTTTAGAATTGACTAAAACCATCAATAAAGCCCTTTGATGGCATTGAAAAGTGGTTCATCTTCCATCTCAGCAAAGTGGTAGAGCAACACCAAGGGATGTCATGCCAGACAAAATATCAGAACACAGGGTTTCAAAGCAGTAACTCTGAATGAGTATAATCACCAGCCATGAGCTTTCAGCTTTTCCAATGGGGGCACAAAACTCCAGGCCTCCTGTCCCTGTGTAGTGGCCATTCCAGGTTCGGGGAGAAAAACCCAACTAAAAAGCTGGATGTGTTTATGCAGAAGCAAGGTACTTAAGTACCAAAGTCAGTCATGTTTTTTTTCACCAGCAGAGAAAAATAGGGAAAAATCTTTCTGTGCTTTTGGACATACTCCAGTGGTGGCCCCTTCTACACAACTAGTATTACGCTGAGTGTCCTGAAGGGCCCATATGGAGCATTGCCACAAGGCTTTAAGATGAATAGCAACCACCAACATAAAGGTCAAGCCATGCACACAATCCCTGCTAGTGTCACAGAGAGATGAAGTAGAGAATTGAGAAGATTATCTCGATAGTTTCTACTCATATATCAGGCCAGAGAAATCATTCTGCAAATCATTCAGATAATTTTGTTTTGTTTTGTTTTCCACTTAACTTTCCCAGGTAGGCACAGTCGATGGAGGGTTTATGATAAAAACACTTAGGCAATACAGCAAATAAAGAGTCGCTATCTGTCGTCATTAAGGAATGGTGTATTATCTTCTATCTTCCCATAAAAATACTTAAAATTTTAAAGTATGATAATATCTGTTCTCCTACTTCTCTACAAAAACATAATTAGTTTTTGAATGTGTCTCTCTTCTATAATAAGGGAACTTGATTAGGTACCTATCTTGTATTTCATTAAAAGGTTTGATTATGATTCCCCCCACCCCACAGTTTTAGTTAGGGAACTAGCATATGGGGCTTTACTTCAACATAATTGTTCTGTATTTTTTAAATTCACCGATTATAACTCCAATCATGTGTTATAATCCTCCTCCTTTCTGTTCCAGAATATGCATTTTAATCTCAGGAGTGCAGTTTCATTTCTCATTATTTTGTGAATATGAAGTAAATATTTAAGTTGGGTTCTAATCAAAGCCAAATGCTTCAGTGCTAGCAAGTGAAATGTGTCGATTCAGGCCCCCACACATTCCCCGTGTGTGGGAGGGGCCCAGATCTTGATTGGAATGGAAAGTAGATTTCATGTGCTCTTTCCTAAAAGCTAATTAGAAGTCGCAGATATCTAAACGTTCATTCTGTTACTCTTACTTAATGCATCAGTTTACTACATATGGACCTAGAATTAAAAATCTATTTAAAATGTTATAAAATTGATTCATAGATAGTATTTTTAAAAATTTAACAATACAGAATTACGTAGGAGTATCAGCTGAAATGTCAAGTCTCTCTCCCTCCTTCTCTTCCCCTGATACTGAGCTCTGCTGTTAACTGCTTGGAACTTCTCCTTCTAGACATTTTTATGCATATATTGACATTGATATGTATATATAGAGAGAGATAGCTAGATAGATATATCTGTGGGGTTTTCTAAATAGTTGAGAGTATATGGTCAGTGCAGCTGCATATTTGTTCTACCTCATTTTATTAAAAAGGCAGCATATATAATGTCCCATTTACCTTAATTTTTTCAATGAAGTCTTTAATGTGTTTTTAGGTTGTTTCCAGCTTTTCCCTGGAACAAACAGCATCAAAGTAAATATTCTCATATATATATATTTTCTCTGCACTCTTATTCAAATAGTCCTGTATGGTACATTCCTAAAAGTGTAATTCTTTGGTCAAGGTTTTTTTTTCCCAAACACCTCCACCAGCAGTATATAAGAGTGCCAATATTATTCATTCTTCGCATGTAACAGTGAAGGCTTTCCTAAATGAAACTTTTGGCCATATCTTATCACTCTCAGTCAATATGTGACTCAATTTTAATTAGGCAATTATGTTTGAACACTAGCACTAAAGCTTAGGTTTTGTAATTCTGCCATATTTAACTTCGATTCAAAGTGATCAGGAGCATAATTATTACCTTCCTGACCTTATCTGGTTTGACTGTTTTCATAACCTTACTCATTTTTACTGAACTGTTTTGCAAATCTTGAACTTGGTAGGTAAGAATTTTGAGATATTTATAGATGGTTGAAGCATAATTCTAATGAAAGTTCATGTAGCAAGGGTACTTGATCTAAAAGCATATTTGTAAGAAAGCTCTGTGAGCAAAGTTGAATATATTTAATAGTGTAGTTTCTCATCTAGTTGGGTTACCAAATATTAAACCACAGTAGAACCTCCACAGTTGACCACCACTCTACACTGACCACCTATATGAGTTCATCTAATTTTCATGTAACCATATGTATTTAGTGGAAGACTGACCTGTATATAATGGCCACCTCTGTAAGTTGTATCTTGACCACTTGAACTATAATACAAATTATTAATTTTCCCTCTGTAACTTGAGCAGTTTAGTCCACGCTATGTGGGCTTTGCCCCTTAGTTGTATTCTTTTTTATTTAGTGTAAGCTCTTTTCATGTTTTATTATTAGCATGGGTTGGATTAGGCATGTCCTATTGTTTATCACATGTCACGGAAGATCTTTTCAACATGGAGGACTGGTCTGAATTAGGTACATCCTACAATTACCAACGCATTTTACAGTTCATTGAGACCTGTATGACCCAAAGGAAAGAATTTGAAAAGCTGACATTGAAGGAAAAGGATGATCTTCTATATATTCTGGAAAGCAGCAGCCAAAGAAAGATGACAGAATATTTTGATACTTAGCAACATCCAAAAACATAAACATGCATTCTTGGGGGAACACGGTAAGGAAAGTAGAAACCTGCAGCAGAAAAGGAGGAAAACTTTCCCCAGTGAAGTCAATGATGCCATGTTAAGCTCAAATAAATGAGGACAGTTAATGCCTGATTCTCTGGGCCGAAGATTCAAGAAGTTGCTGAAAAATTCACACAGGAATTCAGAGTGGAAGATTTTCAAGCATCAAGAGGTTGGTTAGAGAAATTTAAACAGCAACATAAGATCCTCCAGAAAGTCTTGTGTGGTGAATCCAATGAAGTTCCAGTAGAAGTTGTGGAAGAGCTCAGCAACACATTCCCGGACTTTGGCAAAGGCTTCAAAGGTGATGGCATTGGTAATGCTGATGAATGCAGACTCTTTTTCATGAAAGAGTTGAAAAACTTTACTTGACAGGAGCCTCACCATGAAGGGTAAGAAATGTAAGAGCAGAAAACTTTCCAAAGAATGTTTTACAGTTCTGTTTTACACTCGTTCCACCAGAGAGAAACTAAAGTCCTTGGTGATAGGTAAATCAGCAAAGACATACACATTCAAGAACCTGAAACCTGAAGATCGCCCCATAATTTGGAGATTAAACAAATGTGCATGGATGACTGGTGCCCCACTTGAGTGGGTAAGGGGTATTGACAGAGAAAAAGAAATGGTCTGTTCTACTGGCAGTAGACAGCTGTCCTGGCCACCTGCAAGTGAATCTCTCACAGATGTGACACTGAAATATCCACCTCCAAATATGACCTCAAAAATCTATCCTCTTTATCAATGCATCATTGAAACATTTAAAATGCATTACCAAGCTCAGCTCCTGCGGTGGGTCACTACTAAAACACAAGCAACTTCATCCATTGAGTGAGTTACCTCTGGATGCTCTCCTCTAAATCATTCTGCTTAGAATAAAGTTCAGCCAGAAATGATAGAGAAGTATTTCAAGAAAGTTGGATTTGTCACACCCCAAGAGTATGATGGTTTGGCCCCATCAGACAGTCCATCTCCCATGGCAGAATTTGAAGGAGTAGATTGCAGTGGATGATGAGGTGGCAACCTGTAATGAACCTGACCCAAAAGCAATTTTTCAAGCAATATTGACTGAAGTACAGATGAGTGTAAAAGTGTTTGAAGCAGCTGATAAAGTAAAAGAAGTGAGTGAGGATGACACAGAAATTGTAGAGACCCCAGAGGAAGAGGATGTCAGACATTTTATAATGCAGTTAAAATCACTTACTGTGGAAAAATGCCCAGGTGTGCCGAGTGGAGTAGCCAGCATCAAGAGTGCTTTCTCCACTTATGTTTGTAATAAAAATAAGAAATAGCCCGAGATTGATTTCTTTTTCAGAAAGAAGGATTAAACCTTTAGAAATCAGTAAATGTGTTGATTTTGTATGATATTGCATATATGATTTTACTGTGTTTTGATTAGGTATGATTTTGTAAGACATTAATAAAAGCTATACTAGAAAGCAAAGTCTAGGTACATATCAGTATAGTAGGCCTAATTCCTTATGTGGACCATCTCTGTATGTTGACCTATTTGTTGCAGTCCCTTGGATGGTCAACTTACAGAGGTACTGCTGTATTTTATAAGTTATGTAAAGTCTGTAAACACAATGGATAAAAATTGAGAGTACAAGAAAGTCCTCAAATAAAGGCTTATTAGCTTCACACCCAGGTTTCTTTTAGCAGCCATACCTTAGGCACTCTGGACAGCTGGCATTGCCTGAGCCTGTGCAGTACAGAGAGGCCTGGGCCAGCACATCTGAGTGCTAGAAAATCAGTAACCTCTATGCCCTCTTCCAGGCTTGTAGAGCAATGGATACCTGGCTCATGTCACTCAGTGATTGAATTGAAAACAGTTGAGTGACACTGATGGGTACCCCCTCAAAATAACCCATATTTCTAGATTTCTAACTTACCCCCTTATTCATAAGATGAGGGGTAACCCTCTTTTTCATCTCAGTTATTTTCTTTCCTATCTGGTCTGTTGCTTGAGACATTTAGATAAAGTTCATTCTGAGAGACTCATGTAAACTCATTAGAATTTTTTATGAGACCAGTTCCCAAGGAGACTTTTGTGGCACCTCTGAGTCCTCTGGTTCTGATTTAGAATTCTTAGGCCAGATCTGAAAATATAACAACTTGGAGGATTAAGGTGAAGAATATAAAAATAAAACAAAATAATATTGATGATAGAACACCACTGATTAAGTACAATAGGGAAGAAAGAAACTAACATATCATTAGCATTTTATTAAATAAGACGTTACCTTGCATGTCCATGAGAAAATTTGCTTTTCGACAGATAACTTTAATTCGTAGTACTTTCATTATAGCCAATGTCTAGACTCTTTACTTTTCAAAGATTCTTCACTTAAACTGATGAAGATTAGTTCTCACATATTTCCATAAGTATAACACATCGCCATTTTGCTCAAGTCCGTGGAACCCACATGTGGGTTTCAATAAAAGTAGATCTCTTTTCTAGGAAATTACTTTAGTTACCAAAGGACAAGCATTGCAAGGAACTAATACTTGTTCTGAATTATTCCTTCTATCGAATGACGTGATTTAAGGATAAAACACATTTTTCCTACTCACACTGGCATTGTGATTACAATGAGACATGTGACTCACAATAACAGGAATAAAATGTGAGTCCAAGCTCAGCCACTTGGCACATCACTGGCCTTGTCACATGTTGGGGCATGTAGATGAAATTCTAGATTTCCGTCCTCCTTTCACTTTATGATTATGGCATGGCCCATGGTCCTTATTCTGTGATGAAATCACTCCAGGAAATTGGTTCCTCCCTTGCCTCTGCTGACGGTCTCACAAACATTCCCATATCATGGTACATCCAGGGTAAAATTTCTAGAGGCAAATTTTAGGATGTCACTGTTTGGTGGCTTCCTACTGGCAAAAGTGGTGTCACATTTAATGTTTATCATAATCTTCCAGGAAACACAGATTCTGGTTTAGCAGATGAGACCTCAATAATCTTTATTTTTAACAAGTATGCTGTGCAGTGCTTCTCAAGTTTATAGACAAATGTGTCTATAAATCACCTGAGGATCTAAATAAATGCAGGTTGTGATTTGGCAGACCTGAGTTGGGCCTGAGATGTTCTAACCACTTCCCACATGAAGCTGATACCGCTGCTCCGCAAACCACTCTGCGAATAGGGAGGCACTAGAGGATTCTGATGCAGATGGTCAGAAACATGACCTAGACTTGAGAATGAAAGTCAGTGCACCTGGCAAGAAATGTTTCTAATCCATACAGCTTCCTCTTTCACCACTGATTTTTTGCATTTTACTTCCTTGCTGCCTCCCATCCTCAAATATTTTTCTGTGCTATCCTTTATGACCTAGCAATGCTAAACTACACAAATTCCTACAGACATGGTAAGTTACCACTCGTTTCCATGCCTTCCCTCTGATGGTCCAGTAGGTTAACTAGCTATCTGTTAACTGAACAGCTTGTGAGTCTCCTTGGTGAAATTCTCTCTGACTCACCCAGGCAGACTTGGGTGTTCTTTGACCTGTATTTGTATAGCACCTTGTACTCAGGCTTTGGAACTGTTGTCTTAAACAATGATCACATGTACTACAGTTGTGTGTTGGAATGTTTGTCTTCCACACCTGCTTACAGATGGAGGCTTTGTGTTTATATTCCAAGCTCTGACTGTAGCAGCTGGCACATAAAAGGCACTAAATAAATGTACGACAGTTCATGGAATGAGTAAAATTTAAATGAACACACAGCACCATGTAGAGGGAAATTACTTCCTTTTATTGATGTTAGCTGTCTCTGGCTCTCCCACCCAACTTCCCCCTTTCAGTGTATTTGAGTGCACTTGCCTTGACTACCTGACACACAAGTCTCAGTGAGTAAATTATAAAAGCTATGGTGACACTGAGCTGCACTACCTCAAAATAACCCTTACACTTAGATGTCCAACTTACGTTCCTCTCCAGGGCTTGGTTGTAATTCTCTCTTTTCTCACTTATCTTCTTTGCTATCTAGTGATTGTTTTCTTCTTTAAGAAGAAGAGCAGGGATAGGTCCCACTGAGAGGAGAAAAAGACAGTTTACAGTTTCTCTAGGAACTTTCACTAATGAAGCCAAATGTCTCATTTATGAATAAAGCGGTGGCTTTATTTGAGCGGTGGCTTTACCTCTTGGTTTTGTTTGTTTGATTAATTTTTTAGCACCAAATTTCTTTTATTTTTGCCTCATATGTTTCTGTCTACTTGAATTTTAAGCCCTGTTACCAATCCTTCTTGAGGCTTTGTATATACTACATGTCGGTTTTAAAATAAAATAAAGAAACTTCACTTTTTAGAATTTGTCACTACACTTTTTGCTTGTCTTACTATGAACTCAATTATGATATTGTTTTCATAATGTATGGATATTCTGTAGCCACTTAGGCTTTTTTCAGAGGGACTTTATTACAAAAAGTTGTGCAGAAAAGGTCAGAAATCTTTGTCAACTGATATCAGAAAGTCAACGTCGTAACCAAGAATTACAATGTTATTTTGAAGGAGGTATTTAAGGAGTATCTACTTTGTATTTATCTTCCAAATAATTCTTCCTGAGGAATCTTTAAAAGAGATGATTTATACCATGCTGTTGCTAAGGGATGCATTTTGCTTTGTTAAAAATCTGTCATTTGTTTTTAATCAGTGTGCACACAGACTATATTTTGACAACCATGATTCGGAACTGATTTATTGCTCACCAGTGTTTTTTTTCCTTCCACAAGAATTCTGCACATTGACTAATCAGTCAGTGGTACTTTCCATCTGTTATCAATATCAATGTCAACAAATAAGTCCATCTGGAGTATTAAATAAATAATCCAGGCAGTTTCCATCAAATACACTAAAGTGTTGCATAGTGATCTCAAGTGACTTACATGTGATTATATTTATCATTTCCATTTAATTCTGCAAGTATGTATGGCACACTGATGAAAGATGAATAAACCACAGTTCATCCAAAGATGAGTTCCGAGGACTGGGGATGGTGACTGTGGATGTTTTAGTATCTGAAGGTTCTAGGTCTTCTCAATGTCTTAATTTCTGTCAGGCTAGATGGCTCTCATTATAGATACGGACAGCTTTCTATAAGTAAATATGAGATTTTGCATTTATATCTATTATATTTCAACTTACTAGTTTAGGATCAGTTCATACTCCATACTTTTCATTTTAATTATGACCTCCTTGTAATATTTATTCCTAGCAACTAAAAAAAGTGCTAGACATGACACTTAACTCTGCCGACGTTATGGAAACAATAGCAGACCATGACTCGGGAGCAGTTCCACAGAAGCTGCTGCAGCATCACCGACTCTTACCCTTGATGAGCTCTTACCTCCCTTAAATGTTTCCTGGAAGAAACAATAAAACGTAACTTTACTTTTTCCTAAAATTAATATGCTAGTGAGATCTATAATAATATGTTGTCAAGAGAGCCTAGCTGGTAGATCGAGGTTCATTTTTATCTTATTTTTGTAAGAAAGCACATTTTTTTGAAGGTAATGCTAACTCTCCAGGTGGCTTTTTTCTTTATTAAATAAAATGAGCAGATTGACACCTTAGTCTCATTTGAAAACTTTCTAGTTTTCATTTATAGATGGCATCTTGTTTTCGTTACTTATGGAATAAATCATCAGCTGATTTTTTTGTTCATTTTATGATTGCCTAAACTTAAATGTGAGTTTATTTTCTTATTTTTATTTTTCAGAATATTTTTCTCAGCACTTGGGCGAGTATGAGAATGTCCTAGCTGCACTTGAAGACCTAAATCTTTCCATCTTGAAGGCAATGGGCAAAACAAAGAAAGTAAGACAATGTCAATGTTTATTTTCTATAAGAATTTATTCTTTGAAAAATATTTTTCCTGAGACTTATAGTTCCCTCATGTATTATAAAAATATAGATTCCTTTTTTATAATTGATAATTTTTTATCCTTGGTAATTTACTTGTTTATTTTCTATAAGAATTTATTCTTTGAAAAATATTTTTCTTGAGACTTATAGTTTCCTCATGTATTATAAAATCCTTTTTTATCCTTTTTTATCATTGATAATTTTTTATCCTTGGTAATTTACTTTTCTTTAGTTATTTTTATTTCCAATTAATATGAGGGTATGTACAATGAGGCCACATTCTTGCGTTTATAAGGCAAATTCCAAGCTGTAGCTTATGCCCCTCACACAGGAAGTGTGCCATATACCCACATGTTGTTTCCACTGAGAAGGAACCCACTGACCCTGCTCCTGGGATTCTGTTTTGTTTTTCTCTCGTGTGAGCACATCATTGTTAATCTACGAGTTTCAGATTAGTTTGAGCACGTGTGATGTGTGTCGTTCCATTCTTAGGATACTTTACTCAGGAGAGTGTTCTCCAAATCCATCCAAGAGGTAACAAAGAATACAAAATTTCCATTTTTTGTATGGCTGAATAGTATTCCATGTTGTACACATGTTCACCCATTCATGTGACAAAGACCATTTGGGTTATTTCCCCATCTTTGCAATTGTAAATGGGGCTTCTATGAACATTCAAGTGTGTATATCCTTATAGTAAAATGATTATTTTTCTTTTGGCTAAGTAATTAATAATGAGATTGCAAGATCAAACAGAAAGTTCACTTATAGGTCTTTGAAGATTCTCCATACTTCTTTCCATAAAATCTGTACTAGTTTATAGTCTCACTAACAGTGATGGAGTATTCCCTTCTCTCTGAACCCATACCAGCATCTGTTATTTTGGGACCTCATGATGTAGGCCATTCTTGCTGGGGTTAGGTGATATCTCAAAATGGTTTTGATTTGCATTTCTCTAAAAATTAGAGACAGTGGGCATTTTTTATAAGTCTGTTCGTTATTTTGTCCTTATGAGAAAAGATTCTGTTAAGGTCTTTTGCTTAGATTGTAATAGGGTTGTTTGCTCTTTTCTTGTTGATTTTGCTGAACTCTTTGTAGATTCCAGTTATTAGCTCTTAGTTGAATTCATAGCATGCAACTTTCATCTCCCATTTTGAAGGCTGTCTATTTGCTTTGTTGATTGAGTCCTTCACTGAGCAGAAACTTTTTAACTTGATCAGGTTCCAAATATTTATTTTTGTTGTTGTTGCAATTGCCTTTTGGAGTCTTCTTCATACACTCTTACCTAAGACTGATGTCTCTAAAAGTCCTTCCCTCACTTTCTTCCAGATGTTGTATAGTTTTGTGGACCTGCACCTCTTTCCACTTAAGAAAATTAACTCACAATGGATAAAAGGTTTAAGCCTAAGATACTTTTCTTTATATTAAGTGAGCCATTTTGTTCATTTAGAATATAATTACAAATACTACGTGCTAGAGACTGTGCCTGTGCTGAGGACACAAAGATACAAAGGGCTACTCAAATAGCTCTTCATCTGGTGGGGGTACAAGTATGTGACCACAGCACAATACAGACAAGCACAAATGAGACACCTAATTCATGCTGGAGAAGATGACACTTGAGCACTTAGAGATAAAGGAAGTCTGTATAGCTAGACAAAGGAGAACAAAACACAGGGAATAGCATGTGCAAAGGCTCCGTGCCAGGGGGTCAGGGACACTCAGGAAAAGAAGATGGAAAATAAAGATAAGGTACAGAAACTAAAGAGTGGCATGACGTAAGATGAAACAGAGTGGTAGGGAGGAGCTGCACCTTTCACTATACTGTCAGCAAAGCTAAGAGTTTGGACCAGTATCGTAAGTTTAAATAAATTAGCAAATATTTTCGGCAGAGATATAAAAACTCGCGTAGTCTTTAAGAAAGATCATATAAGAATTAGCTTGGGTCTGGGGTTAAGAATGCAGGGGGATGAGTCCTAAGTTCACTTGCCTAGGCAAGAGATGTTGGTCGTGGAGATATTGGCAGAAGACATGGAGAAAAGCAAATGAACTGTACGTATATTTGAAATTATGTCAATGGAACTTGAAGAAGGATTGACTATAGAAATGAGGGAAGAATGTGCCCAGGATGAATTGGTTTTTAGCTTATGTACCTGGGTAGTGAGACTCACTGCCTAGACAGAGAATGCTGAAGAAGGGCAGGGTTTGAGGAGGTAAGTTCCTAAGTTCTCATTTTAGGCATATTGAATCTTATCTGCCTTTGAGATATAGAAGGAAAGTCAAGTAAACCATCAGATCCAACAATCTAGATCTTAGAGATGAGGTCTAGACTAGACTATAAATTTATCAATTGCCAACACTTAAGCCAAGAGCTTGACTGGCATAATCTAGAGAGAGAATAAATAGTAAAAAAAGGAAAGGACTTCACACTGTGCCATAATAAGCTCCTACTTTTGATGGTGGGTGGAGGAGAAAGAGCCACTCAGTGAGTCTGAATAGTAGTGGGCAGGGAAAGAGGAGGGACGCCGAGAGAATGTGGTATCTAAGTTGAAGAGAGATAGGGAGAGGTCAATAGTGTTGGTTGCTATGCTAGAATAAGAGAGATAAATGTTAAATTTTCCATTATCAGGAAAGAGGATTGCTCGAGCCCAAGAGTTTGAGGTTGCTATGAGCTGTGAAGCCATGGCACTCCATTAGGGGCAAGAAAGTGAGACTGTAACAAACAAACAAACAACAACAAAAACAGCAAAAGAAAGAAAAGAAAAAGAAAAAAAATTCCATTGTCAATGAATCAAAACAGTCTTTTCAGTGTGACAAGAAATAAATTTTAAAGCCTGTATAGAATTTCTGGATAAAAACAACAGATTTTCTATATCCATTGAGTTCTGCTTGCTCTCAAAGCTTCATGAAAAGGGCTGAAATGAGATTTTTTTAAATGGGGAAGCTGATAGCAACAAAATTGAGAAACTGAATAGCAGATGGCCAAGTGACAGATGACGGAAAACTTAAGACATTTAACCATTTGACATACAGTGTAAAAAACTAAAGCTACATAGAAGCAAAGGCTCAAGAATGGTGGCACCAGTTGCCCTGGGAAGAGCAGGGGAATGCCTGATGTCCTATTGGAAATCTGTCTCTGAAGCAGTTAGATTCCCAGATGCCCTGCTCTGCTCTACTCAGCTGAGCAACTGCCTCTTTGACTCAAGTCGAAAACAGATTTCATTCTAAAAGGGTAAAAGAGAAGTTCTGCCCCCAGGGAATAGTTCAGCCACAGTTGAGGGATTAAGTAAAAATTTACATAGTAAATGAAAAGACCTCCATCTTTCTTCCTTTATTTAACTTAGGGAGCTTTGGCAAAGAGGCTTACGTCCTCCAGGCACACAGACAGAGGGGTGTGTGAGAAATTTAAACAATAGCAGAAAGAAAAGACAGAAAGATTCTTCACTGTTAGAGCTCAGCCAGCCTTCTCCCCTCTCTGAGACTACTAATCAGCTTGTTCCCAGCCCAGCCACCTGTAAGTATGCACAGTCGGCTGCTAAGTCAGCAAACTTCTTATAGGAAAAGCAGAGACGAAAACAACAAACAAGGAGGAAGGAAAGAAAACTGACAGGGAGTGGGTGAAGGAAAGAGTTAACAAAAGAGATTTATGCAGGAAGATGAAAACTTTGAAAATATTCTTAACCTCCTTGGAGAGATAATAGAAGATATCGCATCATGAAGCCAGAATAGGATGACAAACAGTGGACAACCAGAGAACAAGAAAGAGCTCTTGGAAACCAAAACAAGAGAACAGAAATAAAAATGCAACAGAATCTTTAAAAATAAAGTTTAGAAAGTCTTCCCAAAAAGTAAAGCAACACAGAAAATAAAAGAAAATTGGAGCATTGCCTAGGATGTCCTATATCCAAATGACAAATTCCAGAAAGAGAGAACAGAAAAAAGAGAAATCCAATTACGTTTTCTCTTGACCTCTTCAAGAATATTTGGAAATTGCATCAAAACTTCATTTCTTAGTAACTTCTCTCTAGAAATATTCATTTTTTTTAAATCTCTGCTTATTGTGGCTGGATTCTTCTTCTTCTGTAGGTCTCATCTTAAACACTATGGCCTCAGAAAGGTCTTCTCTGACCACTCTATCTTGAAAAACATCTAGGCAGCCCAGTGGCCCATGCCTGTAATCCTAGCACTCTGAGAGGCCAAAGCGGGTGGATTGCCTGAGCTCAGGAGTTCAAGACCAGCCTGAGCCAGAGCGAAACCTTGCCTCTAAAAAAATTGCCAGGTGTTGTGACAGGTGCCTGTAGTCCCAGCTACTTGGAAGGCTGAGGCAAGAGAATCACTTAAGCCCTAGAGTTTGAGGTTGCTGTGAGCTGTGACGCCATGGCACTCTACCGAGGGCAACAGAGTAGAATCTCTCAAAAAAAAGAAAGTCTAAGAATAGTTCTCTGTTAAAGCATCTTGTTTGTTCCTTGCTGGCAATTATCAGAATGAGTAACTATATAAATCTCTTTTCTCACCATATGTACGCTGAACCTAGCACAGGACCTGAAAATTAAAATGTACTAAAGCGAGACCCCTCTTTACTATAAATAGAAAAAGTAGCCAGGAGCTGTGGCTGGCGCCTATAGTTCTAACTACTCAGGACGCTGAGTGAAGAGGATTACTCAAATCCAGGAGTTTGAGGTTGCTGTGAGCTATGTTGCCACAGCCCTCTACCCAGGGTAATAGAGTGAGACTCTGTCTAAAAAAAAAAAAAAAGTACTAAAAAATGTATTGATGGAATAAGAAGTTAATTGGTCAAATGAGCATTTATACAGATCTAAAAGCTAAATACTTTTGCTCCTAAAAGAAAAAAAAAATGCTCCAAAGCTCATTTAAGAAGCTTTCAGTTTTCCTCAGATAGGAAGAAAAAGCCAACATACAATCTTCCTTATTTTCAAACACTGTGCACTAAA